ATGTTGGGATGCTCCCGGAATTCCCGGTGCTCCCACTGCTCCAGGGGTGCTCCCCCTCCCAGTTCTGACCCCCCTGCCCCAGTTTTGGGTGTCTCCCCCCCAATTGTGACCCCAAAATCCCCCTGGGGGACCCTCCCAGCTCCCGGGGACCCTCCCAGGCCAAGGAATTTCGGGATGCTCCCGGCATTCCCGGTGCTCACACTGGTCCAGGGGCGGGGGGACGCTGCCCTTCACCCAGGGCGTGTGGTCATCCACCATGTTGATGGTCAGGTTGGGGTGCCAGTGGGAAATCACCTCCACGGGGCCGAAATCCTCCGCCCTCTGCAACGGGAACGGCGCCGGATCCGGGAACGGCGCCGGATCCCTCAAACCCCAACGGGGAGAGGGGAAGGGGAAGGGACAACCCACCCCCCAGGCCAGGGAAGCTCCAAGGAGGTTGTGGAGAGCATCCCCTCCCTCCCAATTATTCCAAGGAGATCATCAGCTCCTTCCCAAAAATACTTCAAGGAGATCATGACCTCCTTCCCAAAGACTCCAAGATCATGGAGATCATCCCCTCCTTCCCAAAAAGCCCAAGGAGATCACAGAGAGCATCTTCTCCTTCCCAAATATTCCATGGAGATCATCCCCTCCTTCCCAAAAACCCTCCAAGGAGATCATCCCCTCCATCCCAAAAATCCTCCAAGGAGATCACGGAGATCATTTCCTCCATCCCAAAAATACTTAGAGAGATCATCAGCTCCATCCCAAAGACTCCAAGGAGATCGTGGAGAGCATCCCCTCCATCCCAAAAATCCTCCCAGTAGATTATTTCCTCCATCCCAAAAATCCTCCAAGGAGACCATGAAGATCATCCCCTCCTTCCAATTATTCCAAGGAGATCATCCCCTCCTTCCCAAAGACTCCGAGACCATGGACACCACCCCCTCCATCCCAAAAACCCTCCAAGGAGACCATGGACACCACCCCCTCCATCCCAAAAACCCTCCAAGGAGACCATGGACACCATCCCCTCCATCCCAAAAATCCTCCCAGTAGACTATTCCCTCCGTCCCAAAAACCCTCCAAGGAGCCCACCGAGGGCCCTGGACGTCGAGGGGTGGGAAAACCCCCCCAAACCCTCCCCAAACTTCCCCAAATCCCCCCGAAAAGGAGCTCCCTGGACCTTGATCATCTCGGGATCCGCCTCCGTCTCCCCCGTCAGGAGGTTCTTGGTTTTCTGGAAGCGCCGGCGCTTGTACTTGTTGATCACTGGGGAGGGAACAGGAGGAGCTTTCCCGTGTTCCCGGGGCCCTTTTCCCTCCTTTCATCCCCCCCAGGAACCTCCCAAGCCCTTGCCCTTTCCCAAACCCTTTCCCAGCCCCTTTCCCTTCCCCTTTCCTTCTCCCTTTCCCTTTCCCTGCCCTTTTCTGGACCCTTTCCCAGCCCCTTTCCCTTTCCCTTTCTCTTCCCTTTCCTTTCCCCCTTTCCCAACTCCTTTCACTTTCCCAAGCCCCTTTCCCAACCCTTTCCCAAGCCCCTTCCCCTTTCCCTTTCTCCTTCCCTTTCCTTCCCTTCCCTTTTCCCTTCCCCAACTCCTTTCTCAAT